GGGGGGGGGGGGGAGAAAAAAAAAAAGAAATTCACATCCTCCGAAAGCGAGATTCAGTGTTCTGAGAAGAAGCTTCAATTTTTCTGAAGCGATTCCGTTGTGAGAGAGGAAGAAGTATGCCACATTTCGTTCCTGTTGATACCCTCAGAGAGTAATACGAGGATGGTGAATTTTGATGTGGGAAGCGGTTGCAGAAAATTAATAAACGCTACCAGCCTATTGATCTTATTGGAGAAGCAAGCAATCAATGTGCATGAGCAATAAAACTCCCATCTGCAGAAAACACATATTTTGATGTAATGTGTAACATGTTTAATGGAGGAAACAAATACGTATGTCCCAGCAATGATGGTCTAAGCCCAAACATTAGAAGTTTGAAGCTGCCATTAATTACTCATGACCTTAAAGGGAATATCTTAGTTCTAGCACTGATGAAAGCACATGCCAACATGATAATGGAAAATGTTTATTCTCATAACTCTTGTGTCATAATTCCCATTAAGAAATTCAAGACGAATATTTCATTTTTGAAGCCAAAATGCTTTAAGTAACCTTAAGTAATAATTTAATATCGCACTAAGTATGATGCCATTTATCTAAACAGGTGTGAACATGAGCCAAAGTCGTAATTTTTGCAACGATCTTTCTCGAATGATTTTGTTAAAAGAAAAATACGCTATTCGGGAATCTTGAAAGAAGAACAAGTAGACGTGAGCAATGAGGAAGTCCTGATGGGAGAAACCCCCCATCCATTCCACAACATAACTTGCAATTAAGACAACTGAACTGCTGAAAAGTTGAGGAGATTCTGAGAGGCTTCATCCAATTGTATAAGGTGTTCCATTAAGGTCTCCGGGCATTGAAAATTAAATTAAACATAATGTATATGGAGTAGGGATGTAATTATTGCTCTGCGGCGAAGTACAACTAAAATAATTTTTGTTTTGTCTGGTAATACTGTACTTGGTTATGTGCATGCGCCAATGTACCCCATTCTGAATCAGTGCCAAAGCAGCATGAGCAATGTGTTTACTGTGCAGGAGAAAGCTCAGGGCGGTGGCTCGCAAAGTTGAAATACAAAGTTTGCCATTCAGCGACAGTTTCGTCATCTACCGGGTGTTGCACTTAGATAGCCACAGCCTATTTTATAATAGCTAGGAAAAAATATATCAAGATGAGGAGCATTCATTTTCGAATGAAAGTATGTACTTCTCATATGTTGCATGCACCCTGGCTCTATCTCTGAGAGCTTTAATACAAGCGGGTAAGATGAAAATAGGCGTTTTAGGAGTTCGATGTCATCTTCCACATCCTTTAACACCCTGGTGATGTCGCTTTGCAAGGCTTCCTGGGAGAATACATGCTGCTTGCCCTCCATGTGGCTCAACTTGGTCTTTCAGGTTAACCCCAATGTACTTAGACACATTTGGATCAGGAGAGTTTCCTGGCCATTCCGCATTCCAAAAAAAATCAGTCCCTAAGCCTTTCGACAATTGCCGAATGAGGAAAGCTTTGAAAAATAGGACTTCATCAGACAGAAGCCGAACGCTTAATTTTTTTCCGAAACCCATGAACGAGTAACGACTTCAGTTCTGGCATCATGAGCTCGCGATGTAATAGCTCGGATACGATGAATAAATTTAAGTTATTCACTATCATATTAAATCAGAAAAAATGGGATGAAATAGATTCAAAGTTGAACAAGGATTTCAAATTATATTTTAAATGTTTTCCTAGCTTCTAACTCATAGTTTAGGTTGTGAGGGGCGGGGGTTATCTATGTGCACCAAGGTCCATGATAAAGACATCCCAAGGAATAATCCATTTGGTAGCAGCATAAAGAGTCTAGGGACACAGTGTGTTACCCGCTCGTCTCTAGGACAACAAAAGAAGCGGGACCTAAGGAAATAGCAGAATTTCACACGCCGACCACAAACGTTGGTAT